ACTTATCATATTTCTCCTTCATCTTTAAAGCTATTTTTCTTGTATGAGCTAAAGATGGATCCTTAGACGAACACATGTCTTTTATAGCCAAACCAATTGAAAATACCTCTACCAAATACATATTACTTGTCACGTATGTTGAACCCGATACGCGCAAAGTGAAAGCCTTAAAAACTTCCAAAAATTGAGCGACCCCACGTGCCTTCTCCCAATCTAAAGGAGTAGAAATGCCGCTCCCACTCTCAAGTTCTTGACAATATTTTGTATCAATAATACCAAGCTCAACAAATGCCATTTTAAGTTGTAGAGCAGCCTTCAACATGTCGTATGTTGAATTCAATCGAGTCTCGCAATCAAATTAAACACTACCTTTGTATTCAATTTGTATACTTCTAACACATGCCAAAAACTTATGTTCTCGACCCGGAGAAGACTTAACATACTTAACAGCACCCCTGATTCTAAAAACAGAAATGTCAATTTCTTTTAAACCCTTTTTAACCACTAAATTCATGACATATGCACAACATCTTGTATGAAAGTGATCTCCATTCAAAACCAAATCATTCCATAACCTTAGCCTCTTTTTTAGATTTTCAATCCCACAATCATTTGACGTCGCATTATCAACAGTCACACTTAAAACATTATTCAACCCCGATTGTCCAAGCATTTTGCAACTGTATTTGCTATTACTTCTCCTGAATGACTTACGACCCTAACAAAACTCAAAATATTTTTGTGTAATTTCCAGTTGTTGTCTATAAAATGTGATGTTATGCACATGTAAGTCATGTTTTGACATGAAGTCCAACCATCTGTGGTCAAACACACGCCTCAACAATGTTGGGAAAGAAAGGCCTTCAATTTCTCCCTTTCAAAATCCCATAAAGCCAAAACATCACGTGCTACTATGCTTCGGGAGATTGGAATAAATCTTGGTTGCAATACACTCATACAACGACGAAAAGCTTTATGATCTGCATGCATATATGGAAGCTCCATTTCCACAATCATATCAACCACTGTCTGCCTACATTTCTCTTGGTCAAATTTTCCTAACACAATTGCTGAAGGAGAAGTCACATTTGTTGTTGATGATGGGGTTGTTTTCAATCTCTTATTTGCTTCACTATTTGGGTTACTCTTGCATATCTTTGAATGTTCGGTCATGGAAGTCGTTCCATTATTGGACTTTAACTTAGAGTCACAGTAGTTGCATCTAGCTATTCCAATCAAATATGGATCAGGAGTGAAGTGGTTCCAAACAGAAAATTTGTTTCTTCGACGGGGTGGTACCCGAGTAAAAGTAGTTCCCGAGTTTTGTGTTGTCTCATCCGTTGTAAGATTATTATGTTTGGGCATTTCCTGCTTTTGATAGAACAACCAAATGTTAAATTAATTCAAAGAAATAAGAAATTAATAAAAATTATGCAGAGATGTTAATAAAAATTACTAAAAGCATAGTGATTTCAAAATTAAACGGAGTAAAAGTATAGTGTATAACACCATAAAATATAACACCATAGAATACAAACTTGTATGTATAAGCTAATACAAACTTGTATGTAAAAATAATCAGTATTGAATTGAAGCCCCTATGGGACTAATGACTAGTAGTAATGTGAATATATCAACAATGTGCACTAAAATTTGAAAATGTGAGATGGCAAGCAATAACTTTGTTGATGAGTCATATACAAAGTGGGCCAGTATTCGGGTGACTATTGATTAAAATGTGTAAGACAACAACAAATGGTAGTTTGTGAGCCCATAACTATCACTGAAGCCAATTATATAGCTTACAAAGTAAGTACTAACCATTCAATTCTTTAGATAAGGATATCCAAGAATAAGCATCTTAGAATGAGGCCTGTGTCATTAAGTGGAATAGTTGACCTTGTTACTACCACTGTTATTTTGCATTTTCTTTTGAAGATATGTGGTAAAAAAACAAAACTATGATAATTTTGTCTTTCACCAGGGAAAATAATTGTGATCTGCTCTTGCTAGGAATCATGAGTTATGATATATTTCTTCTTTGAAATTTCCAAAATACCAAGTCCTATTTCTATTATAGCAAGCAACATTACTCATTTAGTAAATTTCATAAGTTCTTAAGTGCAATAAACAAAAAACACAAAGATGTTTAAGTAATTGAATTCATTATCCGTAGATTCTAACTCTGTCAATCTAATGGTGAGTTCCTTACATCTTTACAATTTGGGTTTCATACATATATAATTATGAGTGTCCTAGAGCTAACATAATTATGAGTGTCCTAGAGCCAACATAAGATAAAACTAACTGAGATGATATTCATTCATATAAATTGCTACTAGTAGATAAATCCATTGACAAAAACAAGGTTTCAAAAATGGCTGGTGAGCATTCTTTGTGGATAGTAAACTAGTTACTGCCATCAACATTGGTGGCAAGTTAACACTCACAATCATCATTTCATGCATAGTTTGTGAAGAGTATCAGTTCATGTAACAGTTTCAATACAGTGAACCAGCAACCAAAATCATGAAATTAGGGTATTCCTTCGAACTAATAATGTACCAGTTTACGCTTTTTCTTTCTGATTTCTTTAGAAACTAAGCACTTAAATTCTTCACCAAATTATAGCTGCATTCCTAACAAGCTGTCGTGAACAACTGTTCCAGTTCTAGTTCCAATTCTAATGTCCAGATTATAGTAGGTTCCATTGATAAATTAGTTGTTACTATCTAATATAAAACTATACACTAGTTGAGTAATTTTCATCAATTGCTAAAATAAAGTAGAAATAAAACTGAATTGAAAATGGAACACCATCAAACATAAAATCAGAAAATGGAACGGTTGAAATATAAGTAACAAAATCGAAAATGGAACACATATCAAACATGAAATTCAAAAAATGGAACAATTGAAATACAAGGAACGTAAATGCATTTACCTGAGTTAAAAAGGAGGATGATCGTTTACGTTAGGGTTTTCCAATGAGATTGAAAAAAGAAGAAAGAATACATCAATTGAGATTGAGAGAGAGGAACAAAGAATACATCGATTGAGAGAGAAGAATTGAGACTCATTTAGGTTAAAATTAAGGTTTCACAATGGGAATGAGATTGAGAGAGAAGCACATTACCTTCGATCAGAGAGGAGAAAAGAAAATTGCAATTGGGCTTCTTCTGGATTTTTATGTGGTTGTGGTTATCCATTCAATTGGATGTGGGTGTCCAACTAATTTTAAAAATGGATTGGTTGAAAAACTAAAATAAAATTAATCGGTTTTTGAAAATCGGATTCAGATATGGTTATGGATAAACCATCAAACCGGTTAATTTGAGTATCCCTACTAATAAACAAATATATTTAATCATTCATTGTCATATTTATAAAAATAACACATTAATAATAAAAACTCAAATAATAAATAATCAAAATGATAATTTAAAAGTAATAAAAAAATTCAATATAATGAGTCAAAATATTTCATTAATAACAAAATGGAAGACGAATTGAATTTTTTTTAAATAACCATTATTTTCAAATAATATACGAAAAAAACTATCATTTCAAATTAATCACCAAACTAACCATGTTTAGTTTGGAGAAGAAAAGAAGACGTCAATCAAAATGGCGGATACATACTAGACTTACAATGAGGCGCTATTTGCATTGACTCATGTTCATTCCAAAGAGCATGCATCATTTGAATTGACACATGCATTCAAAAATGATGCGTATGCACTATTTAAATTGGCGCATGCATTAAAAAATAATACATATGCACCATTTGGATTGGCGCATGCATTATAAATAATTAAAATTAACAAAATTAAAAACAAAATAAAATATAAAGGATGCGCCATTTGAAATGACGCATGCACTTAATGCATGGATGTATGTGCAATTGGAAATCTCTAATGACGACACATACAAACATGAGCCATTTGAAATGACACATATGTGTTTAATACCAATCACAATGACGATTCCTCTTTCCTTCTTTCTGAAATACGATTACATTCTTAATAATTTTGAAATATTGGTTTATTTGATATTTAATTTGTTAAAACTTGTTATTATAAAAAAATCGATGAATTACATTATGAATTTATTCGGTAGAAATAATGACAAATCTTTCTTATTTCCTCAACTAAAGGACAATTATTTTAACTTAAATTATAATAATATAAATGATAAAAATAAATTTTTGATAAAATATCAAAAATATAAATGAAATAAAAAGTCATAAATTAAAAGGTATAAACACAAAAACTAATTTAAATAACTTTTGAAAGAAGATTCAAATAACTTTTGAAGAAAAAGGTTAAAAGCTAATAAAAAACTATAAACTAAAATATAAAAAGAGTTACCAAACATAACTTTTTCAGAGCTAAAAAGTATAAGAAATAAACTAAAAACTATTTTTTAAAAATATTTTATCGAACAGTAATAATAATAAAGGAAATGTTAACCAGTGCTTTTAGAGCATTTTTTTTAAATTTTAAATAGTAAGTTTTTATAAAAGTATGTGCAATAATGTGCATTTAAAATGGAACTGTTTGAATTTTTTAAAAAATAATTTCTTAATATAGAATGTTTAAATAGTGTCATGAAGACACTGGTTAGCAAGACCCTAATAATAATAATAATAATAATAATAATAATAATAATAATAATAATAATAATAATCTCTGTTAAAGAAAAAAACAAGAAAAATGGTGAGGAACTAGGGATCCCAAATTCAAAAGCATTTATCCGCTCTCTCGCTCATTCTCCCGAGCATGCGTTTTAACATCTAATTCAACTTTCAGATTCACAAGCTCACTCGTTTTGGTCTCACAGGGGTGAGATTTTCCATCTCACACACTTTATGGTATGTTTCCTAATTCTTTTTCAGTTTCTCCATTTCCCACCCTTTTTTTATACACCACTCACGACCCATCATCACAGATACCAAACCACCGCTAGTCGGTTCGAATCTCTATAACCGTCAAGCTATCATGTCGTCGGCGGAGCTTGGTTCGCCTTGCGACGAACGCATTTCCATGTTGCCAGCGCTCAATTCGAGGAAAAGTTTTAGGGTTAGGGTTTTTTCCGAGGACTATGCGAGAATTGCAACCGCAACTTCCGCCGTTGATCGCTCCGACCTAATCAACCACCACGCTGAATCGCACGTGTCAGGTAGAGTAACCTAAGTAGTGAAATTTCTTGGTTCTGATGGTAAGTCTTGTTATGTGAACTTGATGATTGTGTAGGTTCCGAGAGAGATAGTGCAATGACAAGGAATCTAGGACACAATTTCGAAGTTGGGGATTTGGTTTGGGGGAAGGTGAAATCGTACCCGTGGTGGCCTGGATTCATATACAACGAGGCTTTTGCATCTTCTTCAGCGCAACTTACAAAGAAGGAAGGGTTTGTGTTGGTGGCTTTCTTTGGTGATAGTAGTTACTGTTGGTTTGATCCAAGTCAACTTATCCCCTTTGATGCGAATTTTGCTGAGAAATCGAAGCAGCTGAGCTCAAAATCTTTCTCCAATGCAGTGGAAGATGCAGTTGATGAAGCAAGTAGGAGAAGTGCTCTTGGCCTAATGTGTAGATGTAGGAACCCTGATAATTTTGCTCCAACCAGTGTTGAAGGGTACTTTTCTGTTCAAGTGCCAGATTATGACTCTGGAATCTATTCTGAAGCTCAAATCAGGAAGGCAAAAAATGATTTTAGACCTTCTGAAACACTTGCTTTCATCAAGCTATTGGCTGTTGCTCCACATGGTGGCGATGACAGAAGCTGTAACTTTGCTAGGAGTAAGGCCGTCGTTTTTGCTTTTCGACGAGCAGTGTTTGGGCTGCATGATGAGACTCATGCTGAGGCTGTTGGAATGCAGCCATTGTGTCATTCTAATCCTCAGGCTAGTCCTCTTGTTCAACCTGTAATGCATTTTGAATCTCAGAACATGAAGGAAAGAAATGGTTTTGGACCCCTTGAAATACTTGCTTTCATGAAGCAATTGGCCATTGCTCGACATTGGGTCAATCGCAAAAGCTGTAACTTTGTTAAGAATAAGGCTGCTGCGCTTGCTCTTCGACAGTCAGTGTTTAAGATGCATAAAGAGACTAATGTTGAGGCTGTTGGAGCGCAACCATTGCACCCTTCTAACCCTAAGGCCAATCCTATTGTTCAACATCTAAATCATCCTGCTAATGGTATATGCTCTTTCTCATCTTCCACTTCAATTTTTAATATCATATGTTTTTTAGTGAATACCCACTGTTTGCCTTTATACTATCACCTATACACATCTTAAAAGTTTTTATTAGGTTTTATTAAAGGAGTAGATTAAGATTTAGTCTAACTAACATCAGGTTGCAAATTTACATTCACATAAGACAAATCAAAACAGGGTCTCCCTTTCATTTTTTGTTCACATGTTAACTGCTGAAGGCTACCTTAATCTTTTATCCCTTTTTAGTTCCTCTTTCTCTGAGATACCACAACCATGCTATTGGAATCTATACAACTTCATAATTTGTTTAAATTTCAACTTGAATCAATGAATAAAAAAATGATACCACACATTGTGATCATCTAATCAGTTAGATCTTTATATTGTAATAAGATAGGAGGAAATCTTAATTATAGTAAAGAATCTCTGTTTTAGGACACAGAATTTGCTTAACTGTCATGTTGTTTTCAGTATTTCCTATTCAAATCTTTGGATGCAGTTTACTGATTGAAAACAACATGGTAGTTTTTAATTAATAGTGGAAACAAAAAATGAAAACTGCATATTTTCTCAAAGCATTCACAAAAATTGTTGCGAATTTACATTCTCATAGGATAGATCAAAATAGCTTTTTCTCTTTCCTTTTTGTATGTTCACAAAAAAGGTTGCGAATTTACATTCAATGGGATAGATCAAAATAGGTTTTCTTTTTTCTTTTTTTTCTCGTGTTAACTGCTCAGCTAAAGGCTACATTAATCTTTTAGCCTGTTTTAATTCCTCTTTCTCTTTTGAGATACCATATACTCATTTAAAACCATACTATTGGAATCTATATAACTTTATAATTTGTTTAAGTTTCAATTTAAATCATAAATAAAAAAAAATGATATAACACATTTGAGATTATCTTTATTCCATTTTGCCCCACCAATGTTGAAGGGTACTTTTATGTTCACGTGCCAGACTATGACCCTGGAATCTATTCCAAAGCTCAGACCAGGAAGGAAAAAAATGGTTTTGGACCTGCCGAAACAGTTTCTTTCATCAAGCAGTTGGCCATTGCTCCATATGGCAGTGGTCTTCAAAGCTGTAGCTTCTCCAAGAACAAGGCTGCCGTGTTTGCTCTTCGACGGGCAGTGTTTAAGTTGCATGATGGGACTTATGTCAAAGCTTTTGAAAAGCAGTTACTGTCACCTTCTAGCCCCCAGGCTAATCGGCCTGTTCAGCCTCAGTGTTATTCTGCTACCGGCGGTATATGCTCTTTCCCATCTTCTACTTTATTTTTGGATATCATTATGTGTTTTTTTTTTGCAAACTTACTTTTTGCCTTCCTTAGACTTATACCAGGACTACAAATTTTCAAAATTTTCTTCATTATGTTTGGTCCCTTTAATTTTCTTCTTTAATCATCTAATAAGTAGTTAAATATTTACATATTTACATAATAGTAAAGATAGAAGGAAATCTTAATTAGTGTTACGAATCTCTGTTAGTACATACAAACTGCGTAACTGTCACATTGTGTTCAATATATGTTTTAAATATTTCCTATACAAATCTATGGATACCAAGTAACATACTGAAAAAATGTGACAGTTTTGACTTAAAAGGTTGAAATGAAATCAGAAAATTCCCCCCTCAAAGTATTCATTCACTAATGGAATCACGTTGGACATACCAAAATAGACTTTCCTATTCATTTATGTTCACTTTTAACTTACTAATCCACTCTAAATGGTAGAAAAACACTATATGAAAATCCGAAAAATACCCATCTGATTTTGAAAATATATTTTCGGATGCACCTCATGCACACTCAATCCATTCATTTTTGAGTCACGTCCCAATTCTATGAATAAATTTATTCCAGAAATGCAGTTCTGAAACCTACTACTTTCCTTTGCATTTTTTTTCAATTTTTGTTTTTGAATTCTTGTGCTATTGTTCACCGTCTTCTCTTCCCTAGACCTCATGCTACTTTTTTCATCTTCATTTTCGGGTAAACAATACCAATATTTTATGGTTAAATGATCCATTGGTTGAAGTTCATCTTTGGTAATGTCTATTAAAAATAAATGTAGAAGCATTTTGAGGGAGAGGGGTTATTTAAAAGAGAGAATGAATAGAAATCGAAATGTTAGAAGCATTGTTTGGTTATTTTTTCAAAGATTGAAATGGAAATGTAGAAACATTTTTGGGAGAGAGATTGTTGCCATTGTTGTTCTTCGTGTGTGTCATTGTTGTTCAAGAATTTTTGAAAGTGTGCTTTTTGATTTCAAAAGTATATTTATGGACTTTTTTTTTTGACAAAATAAGGGTGAGACTTACTTACACATAAATTTAATGTATTTGGGTATGTTTAGAGATAGATCTCTGAAATTTGGGATATTATTGTATTTTCACGAGAGTATGATATAAATTTATAAGGGGTGTTAATATTCCCTGACTACCACCTTAATTATAGTATTAGTAAAAGAATGAATGGTGCTCATTACATCCCATGTAGTGATTAGATCCTATGGAAATCCCAAAATGACATTATATTTTAGATTTTAAAATTCAAACGCGCCCAATCTACAACAAAATGACTGAGGCTCCCCATTTTTGTCAAAAGTTGGCATGGATTCCAATCTCTGTATCATAAGTTTGGATTCCAACATTCAGATTAACACCATGACATTATTTTACACCTTTTGACAGTAAGTTAGGAGAATTTTGTCATTTTTAAAAATAAATCTTACATTATGCGTTATTTATAAATTAATTCCACAATAAATCGTAAGCATTTGTCGTTCAATAATAAGATCAAAATAGATGAACTAATGCATATATATACATCTCATAATCAATCTTACAATCCATAATATAAAATGTTAAAATGTACAAAATAAAATTCCATTATATCTGGTGCACATGTTCCTCTTATGTCGTCGGTACTGTAACACATGTGGTGCTCTACTAAGTTGTCATGTAGAGTGGCCATCTGAGGAGTGCATTCCTCAAACTCGTCCAAATAGCTATAATGCAACGACATATTAGTAACATATCATCATGGTATGCCCTTACACGTGTCTCCTCTAAGATTTCTCGATGAGTTGGCTTTAGAGGATCTTCCTTTGCATCTTGTTTCATTTAAAGGTGTGACACTATAAAACCTTTCGTTGTAGCCGTTATGCGTACTCCACGGACAAGGAGTTGATACACAACATACATTCTCTAACACCAAATGATCAAAGTATGTTGCAAATATCTCATCAACATCCATACAGAGTACAATGATAAGAGCAACAACATCTATGCAAAGTACAACGATAGGAGCAACAACATCCTTTGGGGCCTGGAGGAGTTTCTAAGGCAAAAGGGGCTTCAGGGGCAGCAACATGCTCGTGAATTTGCGAAGTCGATGTCAAAGATACATGAACTCAAATTGGTTGAACTCTGTTTGCACTAAACTTAACTACTCACACCTTACTTTTGATGCTCTTCCACCGACAACAAAAGTTGATGGTGTTTTTCATCCTAGCATTTTCTACTTTTTCTACACCAAATCATCCACAATATCATCAACAAATTGTTTTTATCATTTTGGTTCATATTTTCTTTTTTAATAATAAGAAAGGTTATGTGAATCAAATATCTTGACCATAACCCTAACTAATTTACTTCTTATCATCAACATAAGGGAATTTAAACCTTTATATCTTAACTTCGTGCCAAATATCTTCCACGATTGTGCAATTGAAAATTTATGCACAACCTTAATCTCGACAAAGTGATTACAAAATTCTAAAAATTCAGAATTACCAACTTTAACACATAGGACTTTTAATCTCTAATCTACTTTTGTATTTCAAGATACAACTAATTAAAATATTAAGTTATAAGTACAAATTAATTAGATAATTTGATAGTTCAATTAAATGACTAGATAGTTCACTCAAATGACTTGATAATTTATGGTTTCAAAATTTAAACTTCATTGATTTTTATGCGTCGAAGCCATAATTATACATCATAGTATCCATAATATAAAATCTAACAATTCTTAAAAATTGTAACATACAATATCCATACAAACACTTTAAACTTTTATATATTTTTCGAGTTGTTGCATTTCATCCTTGTTGCATTTCATTCCCTTGTATTTGTTAATTAATTACTTTGAATTTTCTTATCCAATTTTGGATTTAGATCAACACTTCAACAATTTTGTAATTCAAACAATCATGAAATTGATTAGTATTTAACTATTTGTATTAAAAGTTAACTCAAATGAAATGATAGACATATGTATTTCAAATTATCTTTAGCTATGCAAGGAAAGACTCGATACTTTGTAGACTTCTTTTCGCCCAATCCAAAATATCAAACGTAGCATATTTGTAATTCTTATGAGCCAACATCAGATGATATTTAACCTGAGCATACAATTATACAATTTGGGTTAAACTTAACTCAACTTATTAAAACTTGCTTGTAAGGTAAGGATTACCTCCATATTAAGGTCACATATTGTTTAAAGCCAACATAATCGGGCAATAAGATATTTCCCATTCCAGTAACACCAAAGGCCAACATAATCAACGTTCGACGAGTTTAGTACACCATTTCAACCAACTATTTTTGATGAACAACCTCATCTTTCATTGAAAAACACGTGCAGTTGTCCTCAAGAATGGAGGATCAACACTTCCTAGTCATTTGAGGACCATGATGAGCCAGAACCTAGGAGACAAAGTAACCACGTTCGATGTTGTACAGACACCAGGACCATGCCTTCCCGAATCTTGATCGAGTGTCTGCCGTCGAATAGACAACCCTTCCCCTTGAGTTACTTTGACAACATGCCTAGTAGTAGGGTTCCCTGTAGTTACGAATGGCGAGGAACGTATAATACTTTATACCAATACTTGATCTAGATAGTCCTGAACTTCCACTAAAACCGAGAAGTGAAGGGTAACAAAGATAAGACTAGTAAGGGACCCTGTACATAGGATTCTCCCTGAAGCTTGCCTGACATCAACAACTGTAGGAAAAAGGGCAACCCTATAGCCCAATTCTTAGAAGAAGGCTACAAATTTCCTCTTCATGTAAATTTCTATTTGGGACAAGTCATCAAGTTCATAGACTTAAAACCTGTTCTGGATGGGCTCCGACTTGACCGGGCAGGCCCAACCCAATGATACTTTGTTAGGCCCAATCCAACTTGGGCTACATCTGTCAAGCACATGGTCCCCGCCGGGCAGACAATGGTCCCTCTGCGGGCAGAACCTCCTCCTTTGTCGAGCAGAACAACGTGTCCTTCACACGTTGTCCACGTACTTCCCTCCGCCGAGACACATCACCAACCAACTGTCCACCTCCAAAAGAGCAGATTAAACCCACTTTTCGGAGATCACAAATCAGTTGAACTAGGGCGAAGACCACGTTCTGGTCTTCACTACGCCACGTAAGCCCTAACAGTGACTTGGGTTAGGCTTGACCATCTAGCCCAACTCAAGTGACTGTTGGCCTTGCGCTGGGGTCTCTCTATAAATACCCTCTTTCACAAGAGGGTCAGGTATTCTCTTACACCTTTTCTGTATTTGCCGTCACTCTGTCAAATCTCTAATTTTGGCATCGGGATGTCTTGCAGGTACACCCCCACCTCCTTTTCAACATCGGTGAACAGGCAGCAGATCAACGACGTGTGGCAAGTCCTTGGTCCCCTTCTGATCAGGTCAGATTAGTCCGCGAGGGGGCTAACCGCAGCCAGTCGAAGAGTCCTAGATGAATGTTCGAAAACGGCAATCTGAGCCAGACCTCCCGAAAGTAGAACTCATACATAGGGAATCGCATCCTCCCATACTTCAAGCATATGCGATGGTGTTCTCGAGGCCGGTAGACCTGCCAGTTTTGGGGATCACCTACGCCCTTATCCTCCATGGTGGCGTAAGCTCCAACCGGGTCACAAGCGAAATACGAGGGCGTAGATAGAGGCTCGTCGGCCACCCACTCCTCGATAGAACAGACCCGTTCGTCGGCAAGAGGAACGCCCGACTCTTCATCCGCGACCATAGTCCCCGAGATCCACGAAGACATGAACACCTGAAAAGCAGAAGGTAACGGTGGATTCGATGACAAAGATCAAATTCATCCTTCCACCGCAAGTCAAGTGAAAGGGCGACGAGGACAGCCCCCGCGAGCAACTGTCGAAAAGCACCCGAGCATCCTCCTCGGGGGCTCACTCCAAATCGTCTCTTCTCCCCGGT